AAGGCAGACGCTTAACCAACTGAGCCACCCAGGCGCCCCCCCTTGTCTGAGTTTCTAGTAGCCCTGCATAATTCTTGGCTGTAGCAGCCTTACTTCATTCAGTCTCTGCCTCCATCTTCACAGGGTCTTCTCTGTGTGTCCAAATTCCTTTTTCTTAGAAGAACAACAGTCACTACCTCATCTTAACTAATTACATCTGCAACGACCTTATTTACAAACACCGTCACATTCTGAGGTACTGGTCAGGGGTGGTTAGGGTTTCAACACATTTTGGGGGGACACGATTCGACCCATAACACCAGGTAATTGCATTATATATTCTAGGTGAAATATATATATATATATTAGAATTATATATTCTAGGTGAATATAATATAGAATATATATTATATATTCTAGGTGAACCAGCTACATTATGTCTATTTTGTGACCAAATGGGGAATATCTTTGAAATGACACTGATGACAGAGAAGATTCAAAAAAAGAGAGTCAGTAGATTAGGCAGCACCCCTCCCTGCTAGCAAAACTTAAGGTTTTCCTGCATATAGTGAATAAATGCATTCATTTTCATATTTTAAAAGCATGAATTATGCTCAGATTATATCCTTTTTTAAGCCCATATGGTTTACATGACACAGGACAAAGTCTGTATATCTGTATTTTTTCTCCTATTTCTAAATAAAAATGAATTTAAGTTGGAAATTATGGATGGCAGCTTGAGAGCAATCAGAGACATATGGCCCATGTGGGTGAAAAGATATCTAACCAAATAAACTTCATTCCATGGAGGAAATGACACTCTAGTCAGATTAGACCAGGGAAGAGTCACATACAGGAACTAGAAGACAACTATTAAAAACTGTACATAAAAATGCACTAAGTTATATAGGACTGACTAAAAGGAGAATTGGAATGGACAGAAGAAGAAGACCCATGAGAAATACAGAGTCAGGAAAGTCCTCATGCAAAATATGAAAGCAGGTAGCAGGTTTGGAGGCTGGGCAGAGAGCATTGCCTTGCCTCTTCCCCACCAATGTCAACACAGAAGTAAAGAGGTGAGGGACAAGAAGAGTTGCGTTGTCTCCTGACTGCCCCCTTTTCTACATCTGATTTCCTGCCAGGTCTAGTAAGCAATCTTTTGTGGGTCCACCCCCGCCATTATGTAAGACTCTCTGTCTGTCAGTGAAAAATAGATTGAGAACTTTTGTACTTATATATATATAAAGAAAACCTGAAATAATGTTCCCTATTGTCATTGTTTCGCCAGGAACAGTATGTTTTCATTCACGATGCTCTGGTTGAGGCCATACTTAGTAAGGAGACTGAGGTGCCAGACGGCCATATTCATGCCTATGTCAACACGCTCCTCATTCCTGGACCAACAGGCAAAACGAAGCTAGAGAAACAATTCAAGGTGAGTTCTCTTAGAAGCCTCTTGGATGTTACCACACAATTCAGTGTTCCTGCAGCTTCTCATTTGAGTCGACAAGGCCATGTGCACGGGTTCAGAGCACAGTTGGTACAGTGGCTTTGTATTGCTCTTTACAGTGGGCAACAAAACCACGTGGTCAATTTCAAGGAGAATCTTAATTTTGACTAGCAAGAGGAAGAGTTCTCAAGAACTCTAGATTAACGTTTACAAATGCAAACTTGGTCCAAGAATGGAGGGCACAGAGCATAACAGAAGGGATGGGCAGACCTCCTAATACAGCCTGCATAAGTGCTCTTTTTTCCTTTGAAAAAACCAGACCACTTCACGATGAATGATCCGGCTCAGGCTGTTCATGCCACTCATTGGAAAAATCTGTCTCACTTGAAGGCCCTAGACTGGAGAAGAGGCCACCCCAGAACAATAGCTCTTCAACCCCAATTTCTCCCACCCACCTTGTCACAAGGCAGTGAGCTAGAGAAGAGAGTATGTTTTGTTCAATATCACACTTTCTACAATCCTAGTTCTCTGGCTTCCAGAAATCAATCAGCAAAGAATTCAGAAAGTAGAACTTACGGGACCTTCTAGCTGTGCTAGGGGGATTTGCACAGTTGTGGTTTTCCCAAGGAATGGAGGCAGTGTTATTTGCTCTACCTTATTCCTATACTAACCTCTTACTTCCCAGGATTCCTAGAAAAACAGGGCCAATTTCTGAAGAAGGAATATCTACAAAAAATTTGAAAGACCCTGGAAAAACCCAGGAGAGTTAACAAACCTTGAGATCGCAGGGTGTTTTTTTTCGTCTTCTCTCCAGGCTACAACATAAAAGATGTTAGTCACTACAGATTCCTTCTGTTTTTTTGCCTTCTCAGTCAGCACCTTTTGTGCCTTTGGAGGAGTAAGAGAAGGATTAGGGGTGAATGCTGCGTTTTGAACCTGCCAGGAGGACATAAATGTTCTTGTTCAACAAAGTTTGAGTGATAACAGAACACTAAAGAAAGAGAAAGTATGAAGTTTGACTTCCAGAAATAGATAATAAACAAGTATAGAACATCAACATTAGGTTGTTAGGATAGCTTTCTTCTAAATTAAAAAATATATAGGTATTACTCATTTTCAACAGAATTCTCATTTTAGCATGACTTACCCCTACAAAACTGCAAGAAAGAATTGATATGGCTTATATTAGATAACCCAGGATCAAAATGGAAATACCAACTGTGAGGCCAGAATCTTAATTAAGGGAGGGACATTTGACTCGGTTTCCTGTTAACACCTAACTAGGGAGATACAGAAGTGTGTGTGTGTGTGTGTGTGTGTGTGTGTGTGCACGCGCGCACACACTGTCCTATAAGACATTAGTCATTCAAGTTTTTCTATAGATACAATCCCTTGAAGTAAGTTACCTGTCTGTTTATTTCTGGGTATTTATCTGCAGAAAACAAAAACACTAACTCAAAAAGATATCTGCACTCTTATGTTCATTGCGGAATTATTTACAACAGCTAAGATAGGGGAGCAATCTAAGTGCCCATTGATGGATGAATAGGTAAAGAAAATGTAGTATATTATTCAGCCATAAAATAGAATGAAATCTTGCCATTTGCAACAAGATGGAAAGACCCTGAGGGCATTATGGCAAGTGAAGTAAGACAGAAATAACTCAGTGAAATAAGTCAGACAGAGAAAGATAAACACCATATGATACCACTTACATGTGGAATTTAAAAAAAAAAAACAAAAACAAGTTCATAGATGCAGAGAACAGATTGATGGTTGCCAGAGGCAGATGGTAGGGGTTCGGCCAAATGGGTGAAGAGGATCAAAATGTACAAACTTCCAATTATAAAATAAATAAGGTATAGGGATATAATGTACAGCATAGTGACTATAGTTAATAATACTGTATTGCATATTTGAAAGTTGCTAAGAGTGTAGCTCTTAAAAGTTCTCATCATTAAAAAAAAGATTTTGTAGGGGCACCTGGGTGGCTCAGCTATTAAGTGTCTGCCTTCGGCTCAGGTCCTGATCCCAGGGTCCTGGGCTCGAGTCTCACATCAGGCTCCCTGCTCCGCAGGAAGCCTGCTTCTCCCTCTCCCACTCCCCCTGCTTATGTTCCCTCTCTCGCTGTGTCTCTCTCTCTGTCAAATAAATAAATAAAATATTTTTAAAAATATTTTGTAACTATATATGGTAAGGGATGTAATTAGACTTATTGTGATTATTTTGCAATGCATTATGATATACACCTGAAATTAATGTAATGTCATATATCAGTTATACCTCATTTTATTTTTCAATTTTTTAAAATTTTCTTAAATTTAAATTCAATTAACATATAGTGTATTTTTAGTCTCAAATGTAGAGTACAATGATTGATCAGTTGTATATAACACCCAGTGCTCATTACACCACGTGCCTCCTTAATGCCCATCTCCCAGTTACCCCCCTCCCCTCCAGCATCCCTCAGTTTGTTTCCTGGAGTTCAGCATCTCTTATGGTTTGCCTCCCTCTCTGTTTTTGTCTTATTTTATTGTTCTGACGAAATCAGAGAGGAAGACAAACCATAAGAGATTCTTAATCATAGGAAACAAACTGAGGGTTGCTGAAGGGTGGTACCTGGCTGGCTCAGTCGGTAGAGCATGTGATTCTTGATCTTAGGGTCATGACTTTGAGCCCCACGTTGGGAACAGAGTTGACTTTAAAAAAATAAAATAAAGAGAGATTACTTAAAAAAAAAAAAACTAATGGAAAGAGATCCATGGCAGTGGGCACATGGGGGAGAAGAGATTATTAGAGGGAGAGGAAATCCTGAGAAGGGGCAAAGGGGAAGGATTCAAGACTAGGAGGGATTGGGGCAAAATGCTGGGACACGTAAATGGGTGTGGTAGCAGGAAGTGTATGGGCTCCAATGCTGGAGACTGAGGGAATATTCTGTGGCTTCTATTCCCTGTGTGACACAGGAGGTGAATGTGTATGTGTGTGTGTGGTATGTGTGTGTGCACAGGCATGGAGTATACATGTGTGTTTGTACACATATTCTAAAATAAAGATGTTAAATAGCTGCTGGAGGGGAAGAGTTGATTTCAAGGAATCTATACCGTACTGACCATATTCTCAGAACCTAATCCAGTAAAATTAGAAATTGACCATGAAAACTTGCCCTGAAAAAAATCCAGACATTGGACAATAAAAATGTTCTTTTAAATAATTGACCTATTAAAGAGGAAATTATAAAATCTTTAGAATTAAAGGTCAACAGAAGCATTACATAGCATAACTTGTCTGATACAATTGAAGTTGTATCTAGAAAGTTATAGCCTTAAATGTATTCATTTGAGAATAAAAAAAATAAAAGCAAACGAAATAGGCACATCATGTAAAAATTAGAA